GTGAGACCCCAGCCTCCCCAGCCAGACCCCCCCCCCCCCGGCGAACCGAAAAGGGCTGCCCCATCGAAGGCCCACTCCAAAACAGAACCGAGCTCGACAAATCACCAATAGCAGAGCACAAGGGGCGCCTCCCGTCTGCCCCCACCCCAAGGAAACAAACAAAGGACGTGCAAGCTCTCTGCAGATGAAGCGACCACTCACCTGACCCAACACAAAGGCCCTCCACGGGGCCGGTGCGAAAAGCACCCGCAGAAAGGCGGACGCCCAAATGGCGCACGGGGCCCAGCATCCCCAAAGCACCCCGAGTCGCAGACCGACAAACAACGGCCCCACAATCCAAGCGGGCGCGAATGAGGCTTCCACACAGGCTCACGAGACACTGCCCGTCACCACCCCACCCAGCACGTGACAACACTTCCAAAACATTCATGGCCCCCAAACATTTTGCCCTCAGACACCTGATGTGCGGTACGAAGGTCAACCCGCCGTCCAAGACCAATCCTAAGAACTTACACTCCGCACCAACAGACAGACGTTGACCGCTCAGCTCAATGTCGGGCTCCGAGCGCACGCCTCCCCCTCGGGAGAACAAGACACACGTGCCCCCCTGTGGGTTCAGCTGAAATCCACCCTCCTCCGCCCACTCAGAGACCCCCCTCAAAGCCAGCCGAACCTGCCGCTCACACACTGCCAGGTTGCACGACCCAAAGCCAAGCTGAACGCCATCGACACATGTACAACAGAACATATCGCGGGGGACGGAAAGGTGCAAGGAATTCACCTTGACAACAAAAAGTGTACAACCAAGTACACCGCCCCGCAGCACTCCCACTTCCCGAACAAATAATTGGGGAAAACACTTCCCACACGCACACGGAACGTCCGATTGGACAAGCAACTCTCGACTACGGAGAGCACTCCACCGCACACACCCAGGTGAGACAAGTCTCCCAATATGCCAAAACGCCATGTTGCGTCGCAAGCCCCCTCGACATCGAGAAACACAGAAAGAAAGCACCGTTCGTGGACGAAAGCGTCTCGGATCTGCAGCTCGACACGCACCAGATGACTCTCGAAACCCACACTGGTACTGGTCAAGCAGACTGTGTGATTCAAGGAAATATAAAAGTCCGTGGTTTATCACTTCCTCAAAAAGTCCACAAAGGCAGCCGGTCAGTGCGACTGGCCTATAACTCGAAACAGAGAAAGGGTCCTTGCCCTCTTTCAAAATAGGGACAACAACGGCTTCCTTCCAGGAAGCAGGTACGGCGCCAGAAAGCCACACAGCATTGTACAGGGAGAGTAAAGTTTTTCGCGCTTCAAGCGGCAGGCCCTCCAACATTTCATACATGACACGGTCGTGGCCTGGGGCAGAACCACTGCAGGAATTTAGTGACGTTCGCAGCTCAGCCAAGTTGAAAGGTTGGTTGCATGCCTTGCACCCCGTACACCCGTATTCCAGCTTCTGACCCTCGATCCCTGCTCTACACCTCTGAAAAGCCTCAGTATAGTGTGACGAGCCAGAGACCTGCTCGAAGTGTGCACCGAGGAAGTCCGCCCGATCCTCCAGGCCGCCACCCTGCGCGCCCACGAGTGGGAGTGAATGCACCCGTCCTCCCGCCACTCTACCAACCACGTTCCAGACTCCAGCCCCCTGGGTATATGAACTAATCCCCGATAAAAACTTGTGCCAGCCCTCTCTTCCGGCCCGCCGACGCGTCCCCCTGGCCCGAGACTCCACCTTCCCAACAGTGGCAAGACCCCCGGCCGCCGGCGAGTTCCGAAGCACCCTCCATGCCCCGCCCCGCTGCCCGCGCGCATCTCGGCACTCTGAGCTCGACCACGGCACAGGTCGCCCCCCATGATGTCCACTCGTTTGAGTATGCTCCCCGTTGCTGCATCAATCAGAGACGCTGTAAAGCAGTCGACAGCCGCATCAATGCCCAAAGCGCACATGTCGCGCCACTCCAAACGAGCGATGTTACAGAACCGTTCCCAGTCGGCTCCGCCTAATAGCCACTTTGGAACCTGGGGCGGGCACCCAGCCGATGCAGGTGTGCCCAAAACCACAGGAAAATGGCCACTTCCGTAGGGACTAGTGACGACCCCCCAGTGAAGCAGAGGCACAAGCGATGGAGACACCATGCCTAGGCCCACTGAGGAATAGGTATCGCTAGCGAGGTCACAATAGGTCGGTTCCCTCCAACTCAGGAGACACGCGCCCGAAGAGAGAATAAACTGCTCAAACCGTCGACCCCGGGCGCCACAACGAGAGCCGCCCCACAGCCCGCCATGCGCACTAAAGTCCCCTAGAACAAGATAGGGCTCGCGAAGGTCATCCATCAAGGACTGAAACTCACGTTTGTGCAGTTGAAAATGTGGAGGTATTTATATAGAGCAAATTGTGACGAGTTTGCTTAGAAGCATCACTCGAACAGCCACTGCCTCAAGAGACGCCTGGAGCCCCAAGTGTTTACATGCTAAACCTTGCCTAACTATAACAGCCACACCTCCAGATGACGCCACGGCACCACCACGACCCCCTCGGAAAACAACATAACCGCGTAGAAAGTTGGTGTGTTTAGACTTCAAGTGTGTCTCCCGCACACAAAGCACTTCCGGCGAGTGAATGTGCAGAAGCTCCTGGACATCGCCGAGGCTTGTGAGAAGGCCCTTGACATTCCATTGTACAATCTGTGTTTCCATATTTGATGGAAAGTGGTGGTGTGTGTACGGAAATGAAGTGGCTGTTCAAGTGGGAAGTTGTAACTTAAGTAGCAGGGTCGTCGTCAAGCCCTGTTATTGGTTTCTTGGTTCTTTTAGCGCGCTCTAGGGAGCCACGCCACATTTCCGGCACCTGAGGTACCCTGTTTGTGTCCATTGCCTCACAAGAAGCACTGGACGCCCGCGTACGCGAGCTGCTGTAGGGTATTTGCGACCTCGCCTGGTGAGACGTGGTCGGTCGACCCGACGACCCTGAAGTCGCCTGAGTCTCTGGCTTGGTAGGTGGAGCAGGCTTGGCTGCTTCCACCATGGGGGCGGCCACCACACCCGATGGCTCACTTTGCGTGGGCCTAGGTAGTGGCGGAGGGTGAGGCGACGCTGCCCCCTGACGCGCCGCATCAGCGTAAGTTGTGCCGTGAAAAGCCGAACACTTTCGAAGTGCTTCCTTGAAAGAGATATTTTCGCGAATCTTAAGTGTAATAATGTCTTTTTCTTTTTTCCACTGTAGACAAGAACGTGAATATGACGCGTGGTCTCCGTCACAGTTTACACACTGTAGGGTTTATTTACATTTGTCAGAGATGTGGCCTTGGGCACCGCATTTGGCACAAGCAGGTCGACCACGACAGCTCTGAGAGCCATGGCCGAACCTTTGACACGGGTAACATCGGCGGGTGTTTGGTATGTAGGGTCTGATCGGTGTCTTTGTATAGCCAGTTTCTATTGTTTGTGGTAGTTCACTGGTGGCAAAGGTCAGTACCAAGTGTTTCGTGGGGATTTCCTGATTGTTCCTTCGGATGACGATTCGCTTCACATTGGTCACATTCTGTTCTTTCCAGCCCTCGAGGAGTTCAGCCTCCGTCAGGTCAAGGAGGTCTGTGTCAGAAACAACTCCACGTGCAGAGTTCATGGATCGATGAGGTGTTACGCTGATGGGAATGTCGCCGAATGTTGCAAGGTTCTTTAGTTTGTCAAATTGTGTTTTGTCACGGAGTTCTAAAAGAAGGTCACCGCTAGCCATTTTTGTAACTTTGTAGCCATCACCTAATGTGGCTGTCAGGGACCGCAATACTATGAACGGGGACACTGTTCTGGCTGTTTTGTTAAGCTCCTCACTGAGTACAACATGATAACGAGGGAATACTTCTTTGGGTCGGCTGAAAAAGAAAAATTCTTCGGTGCGTACGCGCTTTGAAGCGGCACGATCATTGAGGAGTGGAAAGCTTCTCTGCATGATAGAGGAATGTAATTCAGTAACGATGGCGGCCACCCACCACGGAGCCCAACGAGGGGACGCTACAAGGTTCATGAAACGCGAAACATGCAGACGCCAGCCGTACACCGCTACGATAACCTAATGCGCGTAGGCCAAGGTTGGCTAGTTGCACAAGGTTAACCCAAGCGGCCCATAAAAAATGGGGAAGTAACAGAAGAAATTAGAAGACAGGATAGATTTAAAGAGGAGAAAAGACGAAGGTGTGGGGGAGAGAGAGATAGGAAAAGGCGACTGCCGATTTCCCCTGGGTGGGTCAGCCCAGGGGTGCCGTCTACGTGAAGCCGGGGCCAAAGGGGTGTGTTGCCTCTGCCGGGGAGCCTTAAAGGTCCAATCACCCAGCGTCGGCTCAACCCCCAGGATCCCCTTTTCCCCGAAACACGGCAAAGCCACGCACGGCTAGGCGTGGGAGGGAGTAGAAACTCCCCCGTTAGCTCGGGTCCGTGGTGTCGCTACACACCAAACGCCTACTTGCGCAGGCGCCCCTGCGGGGCGCATCCGCACTATTAAATGCACCAATATATCAATCTGTTATGAGCGTGCACGTAATTTACTGTAGGCGGCAATGTGTCACACTCAAGTGTATATTGCATAGTGTGAGAGAACAGTAGCACTGAACACTTACCGGTGACATCAGCTGTGCCCTCAGCAGACAGAAATCCTCCACAGGCAGCACAAAAGTTCTGCTGAGCTGTAAATGACGGATAATCTTATTAGTAGTACTGAAGACCGGTACAGTCACTAAAGCTTTAAATTAGCACAGTTGCAGCACAGGCAATGAGGGATGGCCAGTGACTAAAATTAAAAAATGTATATGATACTGAACAGAAATTTCACTCACACTCAACAGGTACCGTCAAAGCTTGAAATGGCTGGCAGCTCGATTCATGGGTGGTTTCTACACCTGCGCACATATGATAGTTAGAACCAACAAAACCATCTGGCAGACACATGCCTATACAAATCATGAAAAGTAGCACTCACCTGCTGAACAAGCTATTGAACAAGCTGGCAGTGCGTCACATTCGGAACTTGAAGGTGCATCTGCAACATAAGATCAACAATAAACTATGTGAAATTTCAAAGCAACATGTCACTGCCATTACCTTCTGGAAAATCCGATGGTGCTGAATCAGTGGCAGTGTGACCTAAAAAAGATAAAGACAAATTGAAGAAGACCATCATCTCTGTTACATCGCATTTTGGCAAACAAGCATCAACACTACTTGAAGCATTTACAATACGCACAGGTGCATTACAATTTTTCAGTAATAAGAATGCATGCCAAAACCCAAGCGACAATGCTTTCAATGCTTGCAATGTGCTAAACACCATACTGCAGAGCAAAATGTTGTGGATCTGCAGCACACCCCTACAGACATGATTGTAAAATATATTAATCAATGAATACAAGTTACAAGCCGTTACAATGCTTCGACTACATGCAGAATGTGTGTTAGCTACGTCACCTTGTGAAGAACCTAACCCTGCTTGAGTGGCATCACTGTTGGCTCCATAGCCTGCAAATTATAAAACATCAATGAAGGCATAAAGCAAGTTTGTAATTACGGTAAGTAATAAATGCAGTAAGAACTCACTATCAACAGCAGCTCGTGTCAGAAGCACATTCGTAACTGATGGGCAGTGTGTCTCTTTGGCTTCTGCATAATCCAAACATGTATTAATGATAACGAAGAGGGAAAAGGCGTGAGATGTGCTTAACCATCAACTCACCATCAACAAGAGCAGCTGCTGTTAGTAGTAGATTAAGGCCACAAGATGAGCGGGCTGAATCATTGCATTCTGGAGAATGAAAAAAATGCATTAATTATACCAAAGAAAAGCCATTAGCTACACACAAACAGTGCACAACACCTATATGCAAGACGACATGTTTCAGGTTAGTGAAAGGCTGAGAAGTAATTATGGGTGATGCAGAAAACAATGAAGACGGACTAAACATTCTCCAGTTTTTTAACGCGATTGGCTTACCTGACGTTTGCAAATGCTCTTGTCTGAAGATCGTAGGCGCCGCGTCTCTCTTCAACTTTTTAGTACCAAACTTGCGCAGCAGTATCGGCTCGAATTGGACCGCAGTGAAGTGGTCCTAGGTAAGGAAATATTCGTGGCTACTGTTACACAATGAAACAGCACGCTCTAAAAGAAACTAAAATAACCTTTAGTGTCAACACGTACACGACTACGCACTGTTTGCCACATTCTCTTCCCACCAGACTAGCACACGGTGCGTACAGTAGGTTGAAATACGCACCATTTAGCCTTGCGTGTCCTTATTTCAACCACAGAGCTTCTGAATACAGAGCGCGCTGGATCACATGCTTAAACGAAATGAAGCGACATTCAGGTCGCTGCCCACGCCTTTATACATAAAGTCCTTACACCCATACACACATACACGCGGGAGTCATTTAACTATACCTCGGCCAATAAACAAAGTTTAGTTTAGCACTTGAATGTATCCATTACATTTACTTTGTAACATAGTCGACGATTATTTCTGGATCAAACGAGTAATAATAATAATAATATAATAATAATAATAATAATATCTGGCGTTTAACGTTCCAAAACCACAATTTGATTATGAGGGACGCCCTTTTGGAGGGCTACGGAAATTTCGACCACCTGGTATTCAATAACGTGCATATAATGCTAAGTACACAGGCCCCAACATTTCCGCCTCAATTGAGAATGCAGCCGCCGCGGTCGGCATGGATCAAGCCTGAGACGCAACGTTTACACGGCACTAAACGCAGCATGCGTTTCAACTGGCATGCACGTTTACCATCGACGCGGTTACTCTCTTTGTGTGATGCTCGAGCTTGACAGTACCGCAACACTGTAAACACGAATACAAGCGAAACGATAGAGTTTAGCTCGCCGGTACTCACCTCACAAAGCCGCGACGATACAGGGTCCAAGTCAGTCCTTCCAATACGCTGGAGCCACACTTCTTGCCGAGCGGCATTGTCTTCCTCGCGGAAGCGAAAATAGCTTCTTTCCTCTGCTGTACCTGCTTTTGCAACCACTGGCACAGCAGGTCGGTATCCCGAAACGTGCAGGATTACTGTGCACACACTCACGCGCGGTCGAACTCCGGCTACACAACAATACCAAGCGCGCACGCCTAGCCACAAACAAACACCGCGAAAGTGGACAAACAAAATGGCGTTTGCGACACCTTCACAAAGGCTAGTGCGTCATGATGCAGATTCTTAGCACCGTCGAGTTTATTACACGGACAGCAGTGGTGCTGCCATCGAGAGCATGACAGAAAAATTTCAACAAAGAAGTACTTTATGCACCACAATATACAAGGACAAATCAAGTGGTACAATGGCTCCGTTTTCACAACAAGAGTGGGAAAGGGCTGAGAAAAGGGTTCCTAGTAGTACATCAACAGGCCCAGATGGCATTCCGATTAGGCTGATAAAGACATTAGGTCCGAAGTCTAAGCAGGCTTTGAGAGGGGCAGTGAGTACAATAATAATCGATGGTGAAGTTCCCGATGGATGGAAACTTAGCAGAGTGAGCATGATTTATAAAGGAAAGGGGGACAAAGCTGACATAAACAACTACCGTCCTATAACAGTGACATCAGTGGTCTACAGGCTGGCGATGCAGATTATAAAGGAAAGACTGCAGGCGTGGATAGAGGATGAGGGGGTGCTGGGGGAACTGCAGAATGGGTTTCGGAAACACAGGAGGTTGGAAGACAATCTGTTCTCACTGACGCAGTGCATCGAAATAGCAGAAAAGGAACACAGGCCCCTGTGGCTAGCATTTTTAGATATCAAGGGAGCGTACGATAGCGTGGTTCAAGAGGAATTGTGGGGAATACTGGACACACTAGGCGTGGAACATGTAGTAACTAATCTTTTAAAGGGTATCTATAAAGGTAACAAGGTAGTTATAAAGTGGGAAAAACAGGTATCCAAGCCTGCAGAGGTAAAACGGGGGCTTAGGCAGGGCTGCCCCCTGTCACCCTTATTATTCATGATGTACCTACAAGGATTAGAGGCAAAATTAGAGGGAAGTGGACTGGGCTTCAACCTCTCTTTAGTCCAACAAGGAAAACGTATTGATCAGGCACTACCAGCATTAATGTACGCAGATGATATAGTGCTAATGGCCAACAACAAGGAAGATTTGCAGAGATTGACGGACATCTGCGGTAATGAGGGAGATAGGTTAGATTTTAGATTCAGTAAGGAAAAATCAGCAGTCATGATTTTCAATGACAACGAAGGTAGTGAGCTTAGAATACAGGAGGTCACGCTAGATATAACAGATAAATACAAATATCTGGGCGTATGGATAAGCAATGGAACCGAGTATCTGAGGGAACACGAAATATACGTGACGACTAATGGTAACAGGACTGCAGCAGTCATGAAAAATATGGCACTGTGGAATTACATTAGGTATGATGTTGTGAGAGGAATATGGAAAGGGGTCATGGTTCCTGGGCTGACGTTCGGCAATGCGGTCTTGTGCATGAGATCAGAAGTTCAAGCAAGATTAGAAATTAAGCAACGTGGCATAGCTAGGCTTGCTTTAGGAGATCACGGGAATACACCAAATCAGGGAGTACAAGGCGATATGGGATGGACATCATTTGAGGGCAGGGAAGCTAGCAGCAAGATAAAATTTGGGAAGCGATTGAGAGAAATGGGGGAAGAGCGTTGGGCTAGGAAAGTTTTCAGCTACTTGTACATGAAGAATGTCGATACAAAATGGAGGAAGCGAACCAGGAAGTTGACCGGTAAATACTAAGAAAACAGCAGGTGGCCAAACCAGAAAGAACTATCGGTTAAGAAGAAAGTGAAGGAAACGGAGACTGACATGTGGAGAATGGGCATGATTAAGAAGTCCGCACTAGAGATCTATCGAACTTTTAAGCAGGAAATTGCCAAAGAAAGGATCTATGATAATACTCGGGGTAGTTCTCTACTGTTTGAGGCCAGGACGGGAGTACTGCGAACCAAGACATATCGGGCCAAATACGAAGGGGTAGACACAGTATGCAGTGCGTGTGGAGAGGAAGAAGAAACTGCCGAACACTTGATAATGTTCTGTAAAGGGCTTCACCCTATAGTTCAGGATGATGGCGCAGAGTTTTTCAAAGCACTGGGGTTTAGGGACCGGGAGGGCAAAATAAACTTTAAGCGGGTAGACTTAACTAGAAGGAGGTTATCTGATTGGTGGCTAAAGTCAAGGCACGAGTGAAAATTAAATTAAACTCTTCACTGCAAAGTACGAATCCTCAAACTCACTTTTTAAGGAAAAATAAATAAATATAGTTTTGGGTTCATTAAGTATTACGGCTTGGTGGCGCTAGCCACCGCCCGATCTAAAGGGTACAGCCATATCCATCCATCCATCCATCCATCACCGCTAAGTGCGTCTGCATGCAAACGGTGGGCTATCGCGTTGAGTATTGCGTGCTTGTGGTGATGTCTTTTGCCACTGCATGCCGCTTGCTTATATACACGTCACATCATCGTTTCTACCGTTATTTTTTACATTTTTTTTCTTTCTTAATCACTCTTTTGGTGCATCGCCTAGAACCGCAGCGCCCAGATGCGCTTTGACGGAAACATGAGCGCAAGCTCATCTTTGCGGCCAGGAGCCATACAGCCCCTCAACTAACGTCGTTTACTATCTGCAATGCATGCGAGGGGAGAGGGTCTGCACACTGACACGAATGGCGCTACTTTTAGTTTATTTTTCAGGGACTTTAATCACACTTTCCTATTCAAGCCACTGTAGCTGAGCAACGCCTCCTCTAGAAGATGCCTGCCGCATGAGAAGAAAAACGGCTGCCACACCCTTTCCTTCCTTTGTTTTAGAATGTTCTTGGTCGCTAGCGTCAACTGTGGCGGACGGTGCAACAACGCAACACTTTGCATAGCCTCCAAAACAGTAGTGCACAGTTGCAGGTCTCGAACAACTCTCGACTGACGCGCCTCTATGGGCCGCAGATGAAAAACGCTTAGCTGGTACCGCCCGTCACCGTGATAATAGTCTCGGTCGCGAGCGCCACGCGCGGCGCTTGCTCAAAACTGAAGGCAGGCCAACTCCGCTGGGAGCGCGAGCCATTCCCCAGGCATTGTTTAGAGAAGGCGTTGACCTGAGAGATCGCGATTTTGCGGCCGTCTGCACCCCCTAGCTGAGCTTGTTAAAAGCACAATAAACAAGAAAATCGAGCATATTCAGATAAAAAATGCTTTAAAACAACTAAGTGTTTATAAAAAAGCAAATTCTAAACTGTTCAAATTGAAACAATATCTAATTTTTTGCTAATTTTAGGATTTGAATCGGCCGCATGTAGTTACGGTAGAAACAGACGACAAACACACGACCGTTGCCTTCAGCGCTTAGTTCAACTCTCGCTCCGTCGGAGGTGTTTGAGCACCTAGAAACAAACTGATTATGAGTGTCTCAAGCCTTTCGACTATACGTCGCAACGTACGCGCGCTTCGTGGTCGAATGAAGAGATATTTACAGTAATTGACCACTG